AAAGAAATTAGCATCTTTCATGCGCTAAAAACTAGTGTGCAAACTATGACTCCAGTGTTAAAATCCAATACGTTTTTGGCATACGGTATTTATTATTATAGAACTTTTGAGTAGACTTCACAATCAAATTACTGATTATATGGTGTTCAGAACACGTATAAATCTAGCTTTATAAGACAACAAGGGACTTAATTTTCATATAAAATGTGCTACTTCTCCAACACAGTAACTACGAGTACCTCGAGGGTGTAATTAGAGTGGAGTGAAAACATCGCACTCTCGGCGACACGTTTGCTCTCTAGAGATCTAATAACAGGCTTATAAGCTCACCCTACTGTTGTTTTAAATGACGCTAAACTACTACGTTTTTTCGGAATAAGATATTACATTTCAGCACCCCATATAAATATGAGTTTCAATTTACTTCTAAAAGTTTAATCCATTGTTAATCTAAAGAGACTTTCTTTTCAAAGTCAAACTCATAATAACTTTATTCATATACTTAACCAAGTACACTTATGAACGTCAACAGAAATTATGTTAAATTGATTCTAAATTTAAATTTAGTTCGCAAGTCAATGCCGTAGAGCGGGCAAGAACTGGCAAGTAACTCTCTTTTTAATCGCCAAGTTTTAAGTCAAACCAATTGTTTGTAAAGCAGAGCAGCCATAAATATTTGAACTGAAACAAATCATTTAATTTTATAAAGAGCTTTATTGATTAATTTACGTTTAACGAGAGTTTTAAATTTATTCAGTGATAATTCTCTAATTTCGCTTGGGAGTTTGTAGTAAAAACGAATACAATTTTCATATAAGAAGTGGTTTATCTTCTGGACCCTGGTTGGTCGTACGCTTCGATTTGTTCTGTTGCGAGTATACTGGTAATAGTCACGATTTATTTTAAAATCGTTTACATTTTTGTACATACAACAATGATTCAAACATATATTTACCGGATAGTGACACAATATTTAATAAAAAACGCGGCCAGTGTTTTCATCCTCTGAAAACCTTACGTAATATTGCAGTCTATGAACATTCCCTACAGGTCGGTTACAAAAAGCTAAACAGCAATAATATTATACCCAATGATTAGCTTTTTATGGGATCCATGACTGATGGAGCGTGAGTCGTCAGAATGGGGTTGACTTAGAGGATTTGGTTGGGAAATTGGCTTTTTGCGATCTGCATCATTGTTTGAAACGATAGGCTATTTAAACTCAATGGTGCTTTGATAGTAACGAGCTATCATTCATCGCAGTATACAATATTTGTTTATTGTTCTTAATATTCATATGTTACAACATTTTTTTATTGAGACAGAAGCAAATATGAAAGTATTTAGGTCAAAAAAGTAAAAAAATTATAGAATCACCAACCTTAATCTAAAATATAACAAAACATTTAATAAAATAAATTAAAAACTAAAGAGCTAATCTCACGGATTCATCGTCATTTATTTATTTAGTTATTAAGCTTACGACATCACACACAGTACTAAATCTACTAATTATTTTACAAAATCTTACATCTAAAATGTGTGACAATTAAAGTAAACATAAGTTTGACAAAAAGAAAAATATAAATTTAAATCTAAAAAAAAGGGTGCGTGTACTTATGTACGCGCGTAAGAAGTTATACTTCTTTGGCATTATTAAAAATAGTTTGGCTTTGTTCCACCTCCAGTTTTTGATGTTTCACAGCGATAAGATGACAACTTTTTTTTGTATTCAATTTAGTGCACTTACACTGATTCATCAATTGTTTTTTGTCTCTTGTCCTTATATTTGCTAGAGAAAAATTACATGTTTTGATTAAACAATGTGGTAATTTTTTTAATCAAAACATTACTCGATAATAATAATACAAACTGATAGTTAACCTCAATTGTAATGAAGCACTTAGGAAGGTTGATGAGCACAGTTTTTTCACAAATATTAATTAGTATTGGTTTAAATATTCAATTTAAATCACTTCTGATTATATTAGATTATATATAATTCAAAAGCATTGCTAAATTTCTTTGAAAAAATAATTAAAACTCCTTTATTTGTTTAAAAGGTAAATGACAAATGTCATTATGGTCATTCAAAATTCTTGGCATACGAACTTCACGCATATTCTATTTCTTTTTACTTGTAGATTGTCTTATTCCTATCTCGCTCGCGCACGCTATAATCACACTCCTAATTTTGTGTCACAGGTGCGCGCGCATTGTAAAATTTCACTCTCATAAATTTTTCATAACGCGCCTAAAGAAGTATAACTTCAAAAACGCGTGTGTACTTATGTACACGCGTTAAAGTTATACTTCTTTAGCGTAATAATTTTCTTCGAACACTATACTAATCATGATATTTTACAATAAACATAAAGTTTTTTATCATATTGGAACGGGTTTTCTCGTATAGAAATCATTATTTTGGTTTAAATAAGCACGACTCTGAAAAACACTACGCCATGACAGACAATGCAACTTGTCGATAAAACAGAGCAAGCGTCAACTAGCGGTCCAGACTGTTTTAACGACGTTTGAAGAGATATTCAGGGTGTCGATTTTTTGTGATGGTGTGCGGGTGTCGGTTTTTTGTGACGGTGTGCGCGCGCATCGTAAATTTTACTCTCATCATTTTTCCCTAACGCGCCAAAAGAAGTATAACTTCAAAAATCGGCACGTCTATGCCCCAAACTACGCGTCTCAACTCTCATGCACAGAAAGCTATTCCCTACTTGCCCGGAAAGAAAAATTATCTAAGAAACCGATGCTCAAATCTCTGGTCAATATTCCTTGAAACTTGTTAACCTATTGGATGGTTATATGTAGTTGTAGTTATTGTAGATGGTATTTTTTTTAATTTCGCTTCCTATTTGGAAGATGATGTTTCACCATCGGATGTCAATGCAGAATACAAAATACCATCGTTCCGCAACTGAGCGTTTCTTAAAGTAGTTTTTACCGCGCACCACCATTATGTTGAACTAGCTGACCTGAAGTATTCCCGTACAATTCTTAAAATACCGACAATGAACTTGCAAGCCTTCTGGCAATGTGAGTGTCCATGGGCGTATCACTTAATATCAGGTAAGCCTCCTACCCAAATCTCCTAAAAGCCACAATCATTGGGCAGTCACTTTATTCAGATATCAATTATAGACTCTGGCTAATAAATTAATGTAACCATTAAAAGTGCACAATGTTTTTCTTTCAAAATGTGCTTGCGCTGTGATGAAAAGAGATCAGAGCTTTCGTTATGGTGTCTCGTTTTTTCGATATAAAAGGTAAGGTTTTTGGTAGCTGATAACTTCTGGCACGATGCGGTTTGATGTATAAAAAGTAAAGTCTTATTTGACATTGTCACATTCGAAATAAAAAGATTAACTTTTCGAGTCAATTAAATTTTACCTAAAGATGTTATAGGTTTAATTAAAACATATGAGAAGTCAAAAACCATATATTCAATAGACAATTTAAGATTACTGTAAATATTCTATTAAATGGCTGTGGAGTTAATGTTATATTTTACAGAGTTTAAAAAGTATATAATAACAGCTTTTTATGCTACTTGCAATACAGCTACATAAATCATAATTAAACCCTCAGGCTCATATTAATGACATAAATTTTACGCCGTACAGCCTTCGCTTAGATGAGGGTTACATTATTCAGAGGCGTATCACGGCATAAGTTAGTAAAACGGCACTTATTGCTACACTTGGAACCCTTTTATGAGTATTTGCATCACAACTATGTGGCGTTAGAGCTTTATAAATGAAGTTATATATCCAACGTTATATATTTATTAATATAAATTCTAAAGCAACGTATAAAATTATACAAGAAAATATAACATCACAAATTTTACAAACATACACATCACACACAAGCAACCACAACATAAATCAATAAACTAAAAAATAACAATAACTAAAACTAAATAGAAACTTAAAACTCATCAAACCCATGCTGTCCTGGAATAATTATGGATTAAATAAATTTGTTTAGGTATGTTCTGTTCTTGCAGAGCAGTGTTGGCCTAGTGGCTTCAGCTTGCGGCTCTTATTCTTGAAATCGTCGGTTCGATCCCCGGCTGTGCAACTTTCTTTCTATGTGCGAATTTAACATTCGCTCGAACGGTAAAGGGAAAAATCGTGAGGAAACCCTTAGACCCAAAAAGTCGACGGCTTGTGTCATGCTCAGGAGCCTGATCATCTACTTGGCTATTAAATTTACAAATGATCATGAAACAGATACTTACAGGAATCTGAGGCCCAGACCGAAAAAGGTGGTAGCGCCACTGATTTTTTTTTAGTTTCTGTTTCTATTTTTCTCTTAGAAATATATATATATATATATATATGTATATATATATATATGGCAAAATATTTATTAACTACTCAGAGTAATGGACGTTAATGTTTCTTATTGAAAATAATATTTTAGACAAATCGTCTCCTGAAACATGATTCAAATAAAAAAATTGTACATTTATTAAACAAAAAATAGTACATTTATTAAACAAAAATTGGTCACCAACATTTCAAAATAATAGAAGAAAAATTGTTTACGTACCAATTAAAGTTTGTTTACCCAAAACGTGGCGTTGCTTATTTTTCAGCTCATTAATTTTAACAAAATTTGCTTAATTAAAAAAAATATTAACATAATACTAATGTCATTGACCGACTAGCACGATTAAATAAGTGTATGATTCACGATAATTACTTTAATTGATTAGTATACTGGTTCATCGCGTGTTAACATAGTAATTGCAATAACAATATGTACGTGACTCACTTAATACTACCCATTCAAAGTTCTGACCATATGCCACGCATCTGACAACTATCCCTTTTTTTCATGAGCAAATTCCCTCATAATTTTTTTACTTGATACAAATGCCAAAACTGCAATAAAATACGCAATATAGGCGTTTTAGATATAGTCTGTGCGCGGAATGAAGTTACATAAAACCTCCATAATGAAATTTAGAAAAAGTTATGGAGTTATTAAATGAGCCTCCAACACAGTGAGTTGTGAAGGCTATGACTGGACGAATTAAAAAACAGAGAAGAGCCCGCGAACGAAATGAGTGTTATTGTAAGGCGGTCATTTATCAAAATGTCCGACGTCTGACGCCGGCCGCCCTCTATAGTCTACGCTCCATTCTATGCTCTATACTACACTATAGACTATACGAAACTAAGCCGCGGCTTGCTTTTATTGCTTTAGTACGGATCTATTAAGCACATAGACGCTTAACCGTTTTTGTTCGTCATCGTTGTTTAATTTTCTCATTCAACTCTACAATGAAATTCGGAGATTCTGTTTTGATATGCTTATTACGAAGATGCAGCTGTTAAACGTGTCACATAGTAGCTTTACATAGCTTAGTAAAGGCTTATAAAATTATAAGAACCCTTTCTATCTAACGCTAGGTCGTTGAACCGGCGCGCGTTCAGCTGCATATCCGGACAATATTGGCACCATAAGGTTACCGCCCCGCTGGTCACGCACTGGTTTATTTAATGGAGTTTTTGGTCTTGCGTCAGAAACCATTGGTTTATTATGGCTTGGAAGACATGTCAGAATGTCAAGAAAAATAATTTCTGAAAATCTTTTCGTTTATGCTGCAAAGTCTTAAGTTTTGATGTGCGTACTTTATCTAAAGAGATATAATTTTTCAGTTAGGACATAAAATCCAAGGAGGTTAAATCGCATTCGCTAACTTCGTTGCATTATTCATACTTGAACTCATGTTTCCACGCGAAATTGCATCAACGCTATTCATTTAACATTTCACTTAAGCTCATTCAAAAACGATTCAATTAGCTGCCTAATAATAATTTCGACTTAAAATAAACTCGCAAAAGCCTAATTTCGTCTGGTGCTAAAATAGGTAGCATCAGACGTAAAAGACAAAAAAGAACGTTTTAAAAATGGCAAAAAGAGGATAGAAGATTAATCTAAATGTAGTACCTGTACCGTTATGAAACATCCTGCCAAAACGAAAAATTCAGCGTCGGTTATGATTTATCCTTTGTACATTTTTGAAATCTTGCAATTCGTAGCCAATTAAAAGTCCTGCCACGCTCATTCGTCTGCTTTTCACAACGCTAATGGGCTTTCCCTGTTCCGTGACATTTGCTTTGTATTTTTATTTCCTTACAATGTTAATTCAACGAAATTAATTTTACATTGCTGTTTAATTATGCATTTTTCATGTCTCGAATATTTTTTTCTGACATTTGTGCAAGATAGGAGTCTTAAGACAATTCACGCCATAAAAGCTTCGACACATGCACCTAAGAACCTCCCTAAACTCAACTTTTTGATTTTATAATCATACTGGCCATTAAAAAGTAAAAGTGTGTTTCTTGTTTCCGGCATGAACATTAATAAATGCATGAATTTAAACAATACACATGAAGCTTTGCGTACAAATATGATTCGCACAAACCGAGATACTTACTAGATTTTTGCAGTTACTATTTCTGATATTTAAATAAACTTTATTTAACTAGATAATGCGTTATAATAATACTTTTAATATATTAAATACCTTTTTTCTATTGTTAGTGTCGTCTTTGAAGTTATTTTCTACAAACGTAGAATAAGGCAAAAGATAAAAAATTTAAAAAGATTTTTATCTTCTTACGCCAAAGAAGTATAACTTCTAACGCGTGTACACACAGATGTGTTTTATGTTTGAATGGTTTTAAAAAATGACGATGGCTACTTAATACTCAGTGTTATACTTTTATACAAATCTATTAAAGTATTTTATATATGAAAATTTTATTGTCAGCAGATCTGGAAGAGGTGCAGCCTACGCGTGTTCAGAGGGGGAAGGAAATGCTCCAAAGTCGTGCTGTGGTCGCCCACCATTAAGGCTCTGCGTGCTCTTCTTGGGGGTAGTTGGAGCTTGCTTGGTTGCAGCTGGCGCCACCTTGGGAGCTTTAAGGCCCCATCCGACACCACTCACATTGATACTGCTTATGATAGGTAAGTTCCATGGCTCAGTAGTTAACTAAGATTGCTTTTACCTTACATATGCCTAGCCATTCAAAAAAGGCGCACTGATCTGAGAAAGCTCACAGCCCAGCACAGCCCAGAAACTCAGTAGGAGTCCGTATAACATAGCATTCTAGTCCCGGCGGAAAAATGGCTGATAGGCACGGTAGGCCGGTAACAATTGCTTCGAAACGAAAATAAATTATAAAATATTATTAACAAACAAAAATAAATAGTCCAATAATTTAATTTTCTCTTCTTAAAACCTACTCATAGAAACAGCGTGAATAAGTTTATTGGGACATAATGCATTAATTAAGGCAATAAAGTGTTAGTTTTAATGTCTTTGTGTCGGGCGAGTGTTTAGTTTTGTTATTAATTTATTTTTCCAAACTCTTTGATCGTTTAACAGCTCGCTTCACGTTTTATCTTTTGTTTGATTTTCATCGATCAAAGGGAACGTGCTACGCTAGAATAGGATTAAAACAACCTTTAAACTGTTATTTTTAACGTCTTAATCTAACGTAATTAATAGTCCTAGTTAGGTTATATTAAATAAAAGTTGTAAATTTACAATATGTTTTGTTTTTACACTTGACCGTATTCACTTTGGATCAATCAATATTTCTTTATAGAAGCTGCAATGTATGTAGACATAAATTGTTGCAATTAAAAAAAATTAAATATTAAGTATATGGAATTACTTTTATTGGAAAACACACACTAATTATTTTATATTAATTACAAACAAAAATACATATCTTTCAAAATTTGTAATCAACGTCAACGGATTCTCAAAGTTTGAGCACGCTGTTTTACAAAACTTTTCACTAGGGAATCCATTTAATTGCCTGTACTAACAAATATCGTACGGCTATGTGGCTACCATAAACTCTAGCTATTTCGGCAGTCCTGGTCTTTGCCCATAATATACTGCAACAACAATCAACAAATCAAGCTCAAATCATCAAAGACTCGAATTAGGGTCCTTCTAGAAAAGAGCGTACCAATTCTTAAAAGGCCGGTAACGCACTTGCGAGCCTTCTGGCAACGTGACTGTCCATGGGCGGCGATATCACTTACCCGTTTGCCTCCTGTTACATACAAAAAATATTGGCGAAAATTAAAGCACAGCTGCAACAGATGGCCTGTATAACCGTGAAACGGAGTATTCGGCACGCATGACAATCGCCAAGCCAAAATCTCATTACATCATTCACAAAGTCGCGTCCGCCCTTGCCGAAGTTTTCAATTAAACTTCGAATGAGTTTTGGAGCCGAATTAATTGGATTTTCATTAGCGTTTGGGACAAATGATGTTGTTACAGACAAGCTATCTATTGTGCTTCGAAGCAATTTGTACGCGTCACTCATTGGTTACTTCACGCATCACCGTCGATTGATCGGTAATCGAACTGCCTCCACGAAATTGGGAAACTTAAACATGTGGCCTAAAACACACACCCATAGAGCATTAAGCGAGATTGTTTAACAAAGAAGGTTTTGACACCTACTGATGACATTTATACAGAAGTTGTCAATTTTGGCAAGTACTATTATAATATGGTGGTAAAGCAGTATATTTGCGGTCAATCGACCTTAGAAAATCGGTGTCGGTCTCATTTATACCGTTAATAATGTTTTTCTTTTTTTATATTTGCTCTATTTTGATAAGTTTATTACAATGTCTGTATTATTTTCAAGTTTTGATTATTATTTTGTATTATAAGTTTTAAACTTATTCACAATTCTGACTGTCAGACATATGCTGACGTCACCAATCTTTGAAGTCAATCTTATTCGTAAGCATCGCAATTTTATCACGTTGCTATGTAGTGGTAATGTAAAACGGTAATGACAGTCAAAACTGTCATTTAAATGAGATTCAGTTTATAATTTAATAGGGGGCGCTAAAATCAACGTTGGCACAGTCGGCGCCCTTAGTTACATGTATGACCTGGTTTGAAAAATGCAAACGCAAACATTTGCCAGTTATTGGCAATATTGAACGTCAAATGTAACACTTTTATTTGATTTTTGATTGAACTTCTATAAAAATAAATTTCACACAACACGTGGTTGTTATTATTTGTATTTTACTATGCAATAATTATTAAATTGAAGTAGGTATATAAGACAAGTTGATAGTTTTATATATTCTAAATTCAAAATAAATCAATATTCTAAATTAAATTATACTTTTGCGACTTCATAAATATCCTAAAGGTGCGCTTACACGGGCAACTAAAATTGCTCAATTCCAGTCAATACTCGTCAATTATGACGTCACGACTACATCAAGCAATTTACGGCAACGGCAACAAGCATCAATACTGCGCAATACAATATTGAGCGATATGGCGCAACTTCATCAACTAGGCAATACTGTCATACACGAGCATTTCAGTTTTCGCTCGCTATGGACGACATTGTTCTTGCTGCGGCGGTTTGTAGCGCTTTTTTTTATCATTAATCAAAAACAAAAAAGAAAGAAAAGGAATAGGCGTATCTGGGTGCGATCGTTTTTGGCAAATAGGACAAAATTTTCATTATGTAAAGATGATATATTATTCAAAAACTTTACTAGTATGTCACGAACAGACTTTGCCTTACTTTTGAATAAAGTAATTAGAAATTATTATTATTTAGACCTCTACTCGCGGAAGCAAGACGGCAAGCCGCAAAACAAACAAGTGCTAATGAGACATATACAAAAATTGCTAGGAATTTCCAAGTCCATTGGATATTCGTCAATTCGTATCTGCGACATTGAGCGATATGAAATATCTGGAGCAATTAGAAGCAATATCGCCGAAATAATTTATTGCAATTTATTGAAATTGCTCCATTAATTGCTCCAGATCGGTCCATTCGTGTCGCCGAGCAATTATTGCCCTCGTGTAAGCGCACCTTAATAAGTCAAAACTATTGCCATAATATTAAAAAAAAAAATATCCTAATTCCTAATCTGATAAGTGCGACAACGTTGCATATCCGAATGCTGAAAAATTATCAAACCTACTTCAGGTGATTTAAAATTTAAATGTGGAAATAAAAATCTACGCCAAGACTATTGAAGTTTTTTTAACATTTTATATAAAACTGCTAATAATATGTTTTATCAAAATATAATTACAGTAAAGGTATAATACTTATACCTTTACTGGGTAGATACTCAGGCCTTTAATAATTATGGAATTTTTATTTTCGTCGTAATCAATTCAATGCAATATTTGTAATTTATTTTAAATGACGTATATACGATGACACTAAATAAAGCCACTTCATACGTAAACGGAAATTCACCATGAATCACATACATAAAATTACCAACATTACTTCCAGGTATCGGCGTGGTATTAGTGACAGCAGCAGGACTGGCGTGGCGTCTCGGTGCCCGTGACGCCCCATGCGCCCTGTTTGGAATCAGAAGAGCGTCATGTCGACGGCTGGTCCCGCGTCTCCCCCCAAGTTACGCCAGACCTCACCATCCGTACGCCGCAATGCTGTACCCAGAGTTTCACTATCGGCCGCCGCCACCCACCTATCAGGCGTCCATGCAAGAATATAGACTCAGGTAAAGGTTTATCGTTATTGATTTGACATCTCGCCTTCACTAAATAGTGGATAAGTGGGTGTGTATAGTCACAACTGCAATCTAATTAAGCTATCATAGAATGTTTAAATGTCAGACACAATACTCTGAAAGCAGGCGCAGGGCCGACGTCTTCACGTGGTTATCTGAGGCACAGTAGTTTTCATCCATTCTACCGTTTGAACTTTTCTTAAAAAACGGCAAATGGCGAATTTTTTAGTTTCGGTCTCACTTTGACCGAGTCCTCCAGATTATCAAACTAGACCCAATAAGCCAGAAGGCAGTTGCCGATAAACTGATGCCAGCACGCAGTCGCGTTTATATCTAAAATTATATTAATGCATAGAGAAAAATACTATTTCTTGTCTTAAATTAGAGTTTTAATTATATAAACCCTTTTATTAATGATTTCAGGCTACTTCTCCTGGATAGAAGTGCTCCAGTGGTGTCGCCACCTCCGACCTACCGGTCAAACTCAGCAAGTCTAGTCAGGTACTCCATTTATTAATGTGCAATCATGATCCACATGAAAAAATAAAATAAATAGCTGCTGCAGTAACATACCAGTATTTACAACTTAACGATAAGATTCGGAATTGAGATATCGCTATGTGTATTCCGTATGTCAAAAACATATTATATTTCAGATTTAACAGACATCATAGGTGGCGCTAAAACTCGACTTTGAAAGCCATAGTAAATAGCGTAATAATTATTGTCTTGTAATTATTTAATTGTAATAATTATTTCTTTAAAAAATTAAAACATATTTGCTTTATAATTCGATATCAGAACTATAAAACTTTACTAGCACTCACAACTAGTACCGCAGTTTTATGAAACGAGGTCAGGTTGTGTTTTCAGTTCAACTGTCAAAACCACCCAATAATATTTTATGATTTGCAAATAAATTCAATCATTAAAGTCCAGTATTCTGTTCTCCGTCGTAATGAGGCGTAATTAAATTTCTTCCTGGATATTATTTGCTTTTTTTTAATTTTATGACATGGTAACATACAACTTTAAGTCTATTATATTGATATTGAATTTGAATTATTTTTTGTCATAAGTAAAAAACTTCTTTTTTTCTAACTGTCGTTCAAACTGTTGTTCAAAAAGTCAATTTTTTTCTTTTATCCTACAGAGGTTCGACGGGAGCAGGCTGGTGCGGCTCTGAATACAGCGGTCCACCGTCCTATCGCACGCCTCGTACAGACCCACCGGCCACAGATAATATTCCCACAATCACCACAGACCTGAAATATACAAACGACATAGAACCAACGAGAATAGAGCCCCAAGAACAAGAGAAGGATCCAGAACATCTCGTCACAATAGTTCACACAGACGCTCAGCCTGTCATTGTGACAGTTTCTGGGTCCACAGCGTTAAATGAGTCTCAGGTTCCGCCGTCAGAAATTGATATATTAGCGCACTTATAACGAAATGAACGAGAATGAACGAATAGTGTTGTGAACGAACGCTGAATGAAGTGATTTATTGGTGCCCTATTGTTCTTAATAGTTTATACATAGATTGGTTTATTTGTAGTTAAGATTGTGAATGCTATGTGTGTTTAAATTCAAAATACATGCACGCTGTTTTTAGTTATATTCCCCTATATTAGAAACTGTACGTTGACATGTTAAGCCCCTCTAAATCATTATACTTTCAGACATTTCAGTTGTTGCCTTTAAACTATTATAAGAAAGGGTACGCATGATATCGCTTTTCTTCAAAATAATTTATTTAATATTTCTAATCTGCTAGTCGTGTGCTTTCTTTAAGTTATAATGTCGGGATATTTTTAGTTTCAATAAATAATTTTAGACAAACGCAATTGAATGTGGTAATTTTTTTTCAAATGTGTGATGTTTTTAATTTATTTTAACAATAGTTTACATGCAGTGTTCACGTATGTTTCAGAGAATTTTTATCATAGACATACATAGCATTTACAATTCTATATATTGCACTATCAATCGTACCTTATATAGTTATAACTTGTAAATAAAGGCTTTGTTTCATAAAATTAATGTGCCGTGTATATAAGTTATGTTAATACATAGTTGTAATAAGACGGAGATATAAGAACATAATACCAAATCTCACCACAATGTACAATTTGTATTGTTATTAGAGTGCCTCGTACCAATGTTTAATAATTATTTCTTTTGTATATAACACTGTTTTTCATTAGGTAATTTAAAATTTTCGAATACGAACAATGGTTTAAAAATACGACTTGTTTATGGTTTTTAAATATATCTGTGCTTTTAAACGTATGAATTTATAATCTGTACAATAACTTCCCTTGTGTAGTCTGCTGGTTTGCCATTACAAAAAATGCTTATATTTATTATCTGCGATTTATTAAAGAATGAGAATTGAAAGTACCTAAGATTCATTCATATGGAGTTTAGTTTAATAGAAGTTTTACTATTATACTGTGTTATTATTTTAATGTAATAAATAAAAGATTTCAGATATTAGAATTTTATCAAATTAACAAATAAATTTAATATTTGGACGATAATTGTGTACTAAATACAACTTTAAAAGCTTGTTAAATGTGTTCATTATGATTTCAATTTTTAACAATATATAAGAAAAAATAATACATATTATCAAAGTTGTCTTGTCTTTCTGAACCGTTTATTTTTGTTTATAATTGCAATATAATTAGTAGTTTAAGGATTTTTTTAACAATATAATTACCCTTTATTTATAAAGACATCAGTTTAATTACACTGTTCTAATGAAAAATTATCGGTCTTCTGTCACATTTATTGACGCTATGTTGAAAAGAGACAGATTTAGTTAAAATAGTGTGGTGAAACTGATTTTGTTTTTATGGATAAGGGGGTTAGTATCTAATTATGTAACTAATATTTTGTAAATAATGTTATCTGTATTATAAGAAAAACAATAAAAGATTTTAAGTTCAAAATATTCGTTTGTTTTATTACGTTACAGCAACAGACTATTTCAGAAATACTTAGCAAATATTTTAGGGTCTGTGCGGAAAGCGAACCGCTGCATTTAAGGTCGCTGCAGTACTTACTCTTATACGTTACAGTTCGATAACCATTATTATAAAACTAAACATTAAAAAGAAAAAGGTTTTTATTACCTAAGAAGTTATACTTCTTTGCATTATTAAAAATAGTTTGGCTTTGTCCACCTCCAGTTTTGATTTTCACAGCGATAAGATGACAACTTTTTTTATTCAATTTAGTCACTTAATATTCATCAATAGTTTTTGTTCTTGTCCTTATATTTGCTAGATTAAATCAGAAAAATTATATGTTTTGATTAAACAATGTGGTCATTTTTAATCAAAACATTATCGATAATAATAATACATACGATAGTTAACCTCAATTGTATTGAAGCACTTAGGAAGGTTGATGAGCACAGTTTTTTCACAAATATTAATTAGTATTGGTTTAAATATTCAATTTAAATAACTTCTTATTATAATTCAAAAAGCATTGCTAAATTTCTTTGAAAAAATAATTAAAACTCCTTTATTTGTTTAAAAGGTAAATGACAAATGTCATTATGGTCATTCAAAATTCTTGGCAAACGAACTTCCCCCATATTCTATTTCTTTTTACTTGTAGATTGTCTTATTCCTATCTCGCCCCACGCTATAATCACACCCCTAATTTTGTGTCACATGGCGCGCATTATAAAATTTCATCTATAAATTTTTCATAACCCTAAAGAAGTATAACTTCAAAAAATATTTTCTGAACAAAATGATGCGTTGAATAATAATTTTACTCAAACTTAGGTCGCATAACCGCTACCGCGCCGGTTCTCTATCGCACAGACTACTATATTATTTTGGATATTTACTTTTCTAATACCACAGAACAATTAAATATTTATCCTTTTTACCGTGGCAGCGTAAATAACCTAATAACGATTGTGATTCCGATTTTAATATTGAGTTTTACCGGCATCCCAATATTTTTTAATTCTACGATATTAAGAACACTTTAGCTAATATAAAATATAACCACAAAATTGCATTTTGGCTGAAAACTAATCTTGCTAAAATACGAATCCACGCGGGCTTAAGCCAGTTTATTATAAATGAAACAAGCATGTTCTTCCACATTAACGTAAGCTGAAATCAAGTTAAAATTAAACTGAAAACATGTTGAAATGGGAACAAATGAAGTCTCGCAGGTGAAACTGGGATTGTGAATAAATTGTGCCGATCTAAATGTAAATTAAAATCGAAGCACAGATTCTGGAACAATGGCTTTGTAATTATATTGTAAAACAATTCTGTTGCGGAGCGTTAACAAGCGATAGTGGCTTTAGTTCGACATGTTATTTTCGAGAGTTTTTCAGCAGGTTCTCAAAGGGTGGCAACGCATTTGAGAGACGCCTGCCCATTTGCCCACTGTTCTATAAAAAATGCCTAACATACTGCCAGTGTAAGCTTGAGAACAGATTCACAAAGACGATATTTTTTTTACTTGGTGAAATGCATTGCGCATTACCTACCGAGACGCGACTGCGGGAGGGTAATGTGGGATTCGCGATTCTGCATACCCACTAAAACTCCAAGGCGCCACCAACAATCGCCTTAGGTGGGATGCTAATACAATAAGTGACTGAAACTGCTTCTCTGTAAATGACTGGCCAATAATATGTTTAATATTTTAAAAGTACATTACATCTTTCAAAAAAACTTCGTAGGATAAGTTTCATTTTAATGGCCATGAAAATATAATAAATGGATTTTTTTAATTTAATTAAATATTCCATCGGCAGAGGATTCTTAACTGCTATAAAAGCTATTGTTTCGTTCTAAAATTTTACGATCTTAATTTTTAGGCCTAACTTTCCTTAGCGTAATATTTCCCTTTATGTCGACTATTTTAAGCTACGTTTACATAGTTAATAACAACTTAAAATATGCATTTCGAACCGGCACATTTCTGTGTCCGTTTTGCATAGCTTTTTAAGTTAACCTTTGCTTTTGTTGAAGCACTCTTTTTTGCTGGGTATTAAACTCATCTGATTTGTTTTATATTCGTTGACTTTGAAAGAAAGTAGGTGACATATTATAATAGTATGTAAACATCGAACTATATGTCTTTGAATGCACCAAGACGAATAGAATCACAATTTTTTGTGTGTACCTGTTAGAGTGATATATAATGTAGTGTATTACACTACACTAAGTCTCACAGACTGATTTGAGTGAAAATACTAATGTACTATAATCTTATAAATGCTTAGGCCGCTTTGTTAGGAAATCAATTTAAAGACGCCCGCGCCGGGGCTACTTTAAAAAGTGACGCGGGGAGTGTGGGTTTCGGTCCGTGAGGTGCCCTAACCACAAAAACCCAGCAGCCCATCTGCTCGCTATGGACGGGAGGCACGGTGGCAGTTTCCCTTAATCCGTGTCCCCAGTACGTCTGCTGCGCTACTGCGAGCCCAACTTCCGAGTTGCCCACTTCGAGGTCATAGTGGAATACGTGAATAATCGAGTAACCGTCTCCCAGGCCTTTTTTTGCGTTGAAAACTCCCGAACTCCGCGTACCCTTTAAGTGATCTTATACATGCCTACAGTAAGATACTTTGGCTCATTGACCCTACAGTTTCATTAAAAATCTATCATTTTATATTAAACGATTACAAGCATGTTTCAAGGAAGACCCATTAAGCGCTTAGTTATTTTGAAAGCGGATAAATCGTTATTCAATGGAACCAAGAGATGCCGGCGAACAATGATTTATTGACTGATCGCCTCTGTACTAATGGTCCCTTCATAAATCTATGCCATGTCATTTTATTCGAATTGATACTACCGAACATATATTGATATAGTATGAACAGTGCTAGTCTCGTGGTTAACGTACATTTCGGACAATAACCATTGGCAAAAACCACTTTTATGTTGTAGGTACATTCGTATAGGCAGGCTGTCACTTAATGGACGATATTCATTTGTTTAGCTACTTTCGTCTGGGAACAGGAACGCTGACCACCATTGCCCCCTTTTCCCCTACACCGTCAGCAAGCTCCATTACCATCTTCTCTCGCAGCTTAAGCGGTGAGGCATATCCTTTATTATGAATATGCCTATACAATGTATTTAATGAATATACATTTTATTGGATTTTGCGGTATGCGTGCGATACATTTCTTTACAGTTTGAATCTTCTTTTGGATACTCTCCATTACTTGAGGTTGGCTGTCAGTCTTGTCCTTTTCCTGTGCCATATGCTTGCTGCTCTTACTCAGTCACAATTGTAGAATTCGCTGTTTATAAGAACTTAATATAATTTTACTGTGCAAGTAGGAACATTCTTGTTTCTTATTTATGAACTAGCTTTGCAGCGTAGGCCTCCCCCAAACCTTCCCCCATCCCTTTGTCTGGTCAAAGACTTCCAGTATGGTAAAAGGGCTTATT